TTTTACATAAATGGATCCATACAATGTGTAGCCTTTTGTGTATGACTTCTTTCACTTAGCATGTTTACAAGGTTTGTTTCTGTGGTAGCATATATCAGTACTTTCTTTTTATAACTAAATAGTATTTCATTGTGTAGATATACCACATTTTATCTATCCATTCATCAGTGGATGGACATTGGAGTTACTTCTTTTTTCTTTTCTTTTCTTTTTTTTTTTTTTTGCTATTGTGAATAACTCTGCTCTCTTTTGTCTATTTGGGCTGCTATAACAAAATACCTTAGACGGGGTAATATATAAACAATAGAAATGTATTGCTTACAGTTCTGCAGGTTGGAAAGTCCAAGTTTAAAGTGCCAGCAGATTTCAGTGCCAGCAGATGGTGCTTTCCGACTAATCAAATTTAGGAGGGCAGAGCTGTCATGACCTAATCATTTCCCAAAGGTCTCATCTTTTTTTTTGAGACAGAGTGTAGCTCTGTCACCCAGGCTGGAGTACAGTGTCATGATCTCAGCTCATGGCAACCTCTGCCTCCTGGGTTCAAGTGATTTTTCTGCCTCAGCCACTTCAATAGTTGATATTACAGGTATGCAACACCATGCCTGGCTAATTTTTGTGTTTTTTTGTAGAGACAGGGTTTCATTATGTTGGCCAGGCTGGTCTTGAACTCCTGACCTCAGGTGATCTAACCACCTCAGCCTCCCAAAATGCTGGGATTACAGGCGTGAGCCACCTTGCTCAGCTGCAAAGGCCTCACCTCTTAATACCATCATAGTGAGGGTTAAGTTTCAACATGGATTTAGACCACAGCAGCTGTTTTGAACACACGTTCACAAAGTTTTGTGTGAACATACATTTTCAGTTCTTTTTAGTATATACCTAGGAATAGAATTGCTAGGTCTTATGGTAATTCAACATTTGGCTTCTTTAGGAACTGATATGCTTCTTTCCAGAGTGGATGTACCATTTTACATTTCTACCAACAGTGTATGAGGATACCCATTTCCCTACATTCTCACTAACACTTATTTTCCATCTTTTTTATAGTAGCCATCTTATAGGTATGGAAAGTGCTATGACATTATGGCATTTATTTGTTTTTGCTGTATGTTTTAGTTTTTTATATAGTCAACTTTGTTAGGAATACACATACATATTTTTCCCACAAGTTAAATATGCTTTAGCTCTGCACAGTTTAGACTTTTTTCTTTTTCTTTTTTTTTTTTTGAGATGGAGTTTCTCGCTGTCAACCAGGCTGGAGTGCAGTGGTGCGATCTCGGCTCACTGCAACCTCCACCTCCTGGGTTCAAGCAATCCTCCTGCCTCAGCTTCCTGAGTAGCTGGGATTACAGGCGCATGCCACCATGCCTGGCTAATTTTTTTGTATTTTTAGTACAGACAGGGTTTCACCATGTTAGCCAGGCTGGTCTCAAATACTTGATCTCAGATGATCCGCCCATCTCAGCCTCCCAAAGTGCTGGGATTACAGGTGTGAGCCACTGCACCTGACCTTTTTCTTTTTTTTTTTTTTCAAGACAGTGTCTTGCTTTATTGCCCAGGCTGGTATGCAGTGCTGTGATTGTGGCTCACTACAGCCTGCAGCCTAGAACTGAGCTCAAGTGCTCCTCCTGGCTCACCCTCCTGAGTAACTAGGACTACCACCATGTCGCACTAATTAAAAGGTTTTTTTTTTTTTAATTGCATTTTAGGTTTTGGGGTACATGTGAAGAACATGCAAGATTGTTGCATAGGTACACACATGGCAGTGTGATTTGCTACCTTCCTCCGCTTCACCTATATCTGGCATTTCTCCCCATGCTCTCTCTCCCCAACTTCCCACCCCCCTGTCCCTCCCCCACTTCCCTCCAACAGACCCCAGTGTGTAGTGCTCCCCTCCCTGTGTCCATGTGTTCTCATTGTTCATCACCCACCTATGAGTGAGAACATGCAGTGTTTGATTTTCTGCTCTTGTGTCAGTTTGCTGAGAATGATGGTTTCCAGGTTCATCCATGTTCCTACAAAGGACACAAACTCATCATTTTTGATGGCTGCATAATATTCCATGGTGTATAAGTACCACATTTTCCCTGTCCAGTCTATCATCGATGGGCATTTGGGTTGGTTCCCAGCTACTCAGGAGGCTGAGGCAGGAGAATTGTTTGAACCTGGGAGGCGGAAGTTGCAGTCTTTGCTATTGTAAACAGTGCTGCAATGAACATTCATGTGCATAAAAAGTTTTTTTTTTTGTAGCAATGGGATCTCAAAATGTTGCCCAGGCTGCTCTTGAATGCCTGAGGTCAAACAATCCTACTGCCTCAGTCTCCCAAAGTGCTGGGATTACAGGCGTGACCTACTGCATCAGCCTTCTATTTCTCTTTTTTTTTTTTTTGAGACGGAGTCTCACTCTGTTGCCAGGCTGGAGTGCAGTGGTATGACCTCAGCTCATTCCAACCTCCACAACCTGGGTTCAAGCGATTCTCCTATCTCAGCCTCCCGAGTAGCTGGGACTACAGGCATGTGCCACACGACCAGCTAATTTTTTGTGTGTATTTTTAGTAGAGATAGGATTTTACCATATTAGCCAAGATAGTCTTGATCTCCTGACCTCATTATCTGCCCGCCTTGGCCTCCCAAAGTGCTGGGATTGCAGACGTGAACCACCGCACCTGGCCCTTCTATTTCTTTATAGTCTCTTTTTCATCCTAATAGAGTTCCTTAGGTGTCTGGCAATTTTTTTTCTCCTCCTGTTTAAGAATCGGGAATACGCCGGTCGTGTTGGCTCACACCTGTAATCCCAGCACTTTGGGAGGCCAAGGCAGGCATATCATCTGAGGTCAGGAGTTCGAGACCAGCCTGGCCAACATGGTGAAACCCTGTTCTCTACTAAATACACACAAAAAATTAGCCATGTGGAGTGGCAGGCGCCTGTAGTCCCAGCTACTCAGGAGGCTGAGGCAGGAGAATTGTTTGAACCTGGGAGGCGGAAGTTGCAGTGAGCCAAGATCGTGCCATTGTACTCTAGCCTGCAGCCTGGGCAACAAGACCGAGACTCTGTCTTAGAAAAAAAAAGTAAAGAATAGGGGAATAAAAAATGAGAAGCTCTGACCATGTTAATATATGGCTGATTTTGAGCTAGTATTGATGCAAATGTTATTGTGGTTTTGCCGTTAAAAAAATTAATTTTTGCACCAACCAAATAACTGACTATGAACTTCACCATAGGATCTCCCTTGGCCATTCATTTGGAAAATTTCCCAAATCCATATCTTTAAGTCTTTCCTCTTTGAGTGGTCAGATTCCCTAGAAACAACTCTTCTGGTATCTTAACTAGAGATCTTGTTGCTAGTATTTTGGTGGCCAAGTGGCAATATCTAGTCCAGTCTATTTCACTTCCCTTAATCTTCCTATTTTCATTTTGGCATCCACCCCCATCATAGTTGTACTTGGTGGCTCCTAGGTAGAAATTATTTTTTATCCTTTCAGAGAATAAATCTCCATTCTTTTACCTAGCTGTATGGAGAAACAGAAGGGATCTGAAAGTGTGGCTGCTTCCAGATCAGACTTTCAACTTGATTTTTAACTTTTCATTTTGGAATAACTTCAGACTTACAAAAACATTGCTAAAATAGTACAAATAGTTTCCACGAACCCTTCACCATTCATCTATGGGAAGTTTTTTAGAGGTACAACTTCCCTGGTTCCTACCCAAGATTCTAAGTGGGTCAACTGGATTAAGATACAGAAATGTATGTTTTTAAAAAGATCTCTAAATAACTAATGTGTATCCAGATTTAGAACCCACTTTCTTAGACATTATAAATTTTAGGAAAGAATTTATTCATTCAACAAGTATTAAATAATTATAATATATTAGACACTGTGCTGGACACTAATAATAGAGATGGATAAATGAGGTTCTCTGTTCTAAAGTTGCTTATTACTAAGTGGGTGAAAGAGACATAGAGGTATAAAATTACAATTCAGTGGGATATACACTGTCCCACGTAGTGGGATATGTACATGCAGTGGATATATACACGTGGAGGTATAAAATTACAATTCAGTGCTATGTTAGAGCTACACAGATAACAGACTGGTTTACTTTATCAGAGAGAATTTAGAAGGGCTTTATGGCCAAGGTAAAAAATTTGATCTAGGACTTGAAATCTTAGCAGGAATCACCCAAGTAAAAAAAATATATTCTATTAAAGGAGCAGTATACATTAAAGCAAGGAATTCTGAATGGTTATAGCATATTGCTGGAGTGGTAAGAAGACTGATGTAGTGTGGTACATGTGGTTGGTAATGGAGGGAATTAAGGCTGGAAAGGAAGAATGAGGGTGGATTTTAAACTACCTTGTAATAGGGACTTTGATTTTAAAGGACCTTGTGGTAAGTTTGGATTTTATTATGCAGTCAATAGGAAGATTGCAGACTGATATTCATAGGGGTGTCATCTATTCAAGCATGATTTATTCCTATTTTTGAGACAGAGTCTCGTTTTGTTGCCCAAGCTGGAGTGCAGTGGCATGATCTCGGCTGACTGCAACCTCCACCTTCCAGGTTCAAGCAGTCTCCTGCCTCAGCTTCCTGTGGCTGGAACTACAGGCACGTGCCACCATGCCTGGCTTTTTGTATTTTTAATAGAGATGGGGTTTCACTGTGTTAGCCAGGATGGTCTTGATCTCCTGACCTCATAATCCAGCTGCCTCGGCCTCTCAAAGTGCTAGAATTACAGGTGTGAACCACCATGCCCAGACTGATTTGTTTTTTAAAAATGGAAATATGGATGACAAGATGACAGCAAGGGATATGACTTGTAATGAGGAGATATAAACAGGGAAACCTTTAGGGAAGATGCTATGGTGATCTGATTAAGAAATCATAAAGGTCAATATTAAGGCATTTTCATAACCATCCAGTATAGTAAAGCATTTACTACAGCCTCTAGTAGAAGTAATTATTTGTAATCCTTTTAACCTTGCATTTGTTGTTTTTAGGTTTGAAGTCCTGAGTTTTCTCATGCTGTGTTACAATTCTGCTATTGTATATATGCCTGCTTCGTCTTACCAATCTCTTTGTCGGATGGGTTCCAGGTGAGAAGAGTGATTATTACTAATCTTCCTATTTATTTATTTGACAATATTTATTTGACAAATATTTATTGAGCACATTCTCTAAGCCAGGCACTATTCTAACTTCTGGTGATATAGCAGTAAACAAAACTCATGGAACTTACATTCCTGTAGGAGTCCTTATCCTCATGAGGTTTTTTTTTTTTTTTAATTTTTTTGAGATAGGATTTCTCTGTTACCCAGGCTGGAGTAAGGTAGGATTTCTCTCTGTTACCCAGGCTGGAGTAAGGTAGGATTTCTCTCTGTTACCCAGGCTGGAATACAGGGCTCAATCATAGCTCACTGTGCCCTCAACTTCCTTGGCTCAAACGATCCTCCAGCCTGGGCCTCTCAAGTAGCTGGGACCCCAGGGGCACAACACCACACCCAGCTAAATTTTGTAGAAACAGGGTCTTGCTGTGTTGCCCGGCTTTATCTTGAAGTCCTGGCCTCAAGCAGTCCTCCCACATCAGCCTCCCAAAGTGCTGAGAGTACAGGTATGAGCCACCATGCCTGGCCTCACGCATTCTTGAAAACATTTTCAGCATTCAAGAAATATTTTCTAGCTGAACATGGAGTTGTACCAAGACATCCAAATCCAGGGTTGTTTAGTGATATATCTTATCACTCTCTGGTTGCCAGTTTTTGTAAATCACTCTAAGATCTTTGAAAAAATTGTGCTGTATATGGGGAAAGTCACAAGGAATCTGAACCTCTTTGCATACATTTCATAAATAACTACCTGTGTTGGAGAAAGTGATTAGCAATAGCACCAATGATGCGTATGTCTCATTTGTATGTGGGTGGTGGGTACTGTGTATCTCATGGATTATAATATTTTCTAAATCAGAATTTCTAATAATTTGGACAGACCTAGGCTGAAATCTTGTTCTGTCACCCAGGCTGCAGTGCAGTGGTGCCATACCGGCTCATTCAACCTTTGCCTCTCAGGTTCAGGCGATCCTCCCGCCTCAACCTTCTGAGTAGCTGGGACTACAGGTGCCCACCACCACACTAGGCTATTTTTTTTTTTTTTTTAAATAGAGACTGGGTTTCACTATGTTGCACAGGCAGGTCACAAACTCCTGGAATTAAGTGATCTGCATGTCCTGGCCTCCCAAATTGCTGGGATTACAGGTGTTGAGCCACTGCATCGACCCTTAAATTTCTACTATAGAAAAAATTTAGGCCAGGCACAGTGGCTCATGCCTGTAATCCCAGCAGTTTGGGAGGCTGAGGTGGGCAAATCTCCTGAGGTCAGGAGTTCGAGACCAGCCTAGCCAACATGGTGAAACCCCATCTCTACTAAAAATAGAAAAATTAGCTGGATGTGGTAGCATGTGCCTGTAATCCCAGCGACTTGGAAGGCTGAGGCATGTGAATCACTTGAACCTGGGAGGCAGGGTTGCAGTGATCCGAGATCATGTCACTGCACTCCAGCCTGGGCAAAAGAGTGAGACCTTGTCTAGAAAAAAAAAAAAAAAAAAAGAAAAAATTTAAGTGATAAAAAATTAGTTTGGAGACAACGGATGTTTAGAGTCACAGAAGTTCAATTATGGAAGGAATTCTGAATTCAGTCTTTCAAAATGCTTTTTACTTGAGGAAATCAATCCCAAAAAAAGGTTAAATGTTATATTAGTTTTCTATTACTGCATGATAAATTGCCACAAATTGAGCAGGTTAAAACATCACACATTTATTATTTCACAGTTTTTGTGAGTCAGGAATCCAGATGGCTTAGCTGGGGTTCTCTGCTTAATGTCTTACAAGGCTGTAGTTAAGTTGTTAGCTGGAGTTGCAGTCTCATCTGAGGCTCAAAAGTTTTATTGGCAGAATTCAGTTCCTGTGACTGTAGGACTGAGGGCTTTAGTTTTTTGTGGCTGTGTGCTGGAGGCCACCCTTTGTTCCTCGACACATTGGCCTCCCAACACTGTCAGCCTACAACATGGCAGGTTGTTTCTTCAACGTTGGAGGAGTGAGACTCCAGCAAGACCTGTTACCTTAGGTAACATACTCATGTACACATAATCATGGAATCCAGTCACCTTTGCCACATTCTGTTGGTTAGAAGCAAGCTGTAGATCCCACCATTGCCGAAGGGGAAGGGCATGACACAGTGTGAATACCAGAAAGATCACAGGGATCATGACTCTCTAAGAATCTGTCCACCACAAGTGCTTTCCTCAAGATCACATGCTATTATGTTACTGAGAAGAGATCTGCTTATAACAATACTTATTAATTTTGCCAATCTAAATTAGCTGTTACTTTGGTTTTATAGATTATTTTAAAGTATTTGTTTCACTTGACCTGTAATAACATGATTAATATCTAACAAAATTCTTGTCTCTAATTTAGATGCTGCTTAAGTCCTTACTGCCTATCTGCAGATAAATTTATTTATAATTCATTTCTTTTGGTTCATTAAAAGAAATCTGCCTGCTCCCCTATTGGAAACATTGTTGTGGCCTTTAATATAATTTCTTTTTTAAAAAATCTAAACCACTTCAACTGGTTTAGATTAGATCTTTTTTTTTTTTTTGAGATAGAGTCTTACTCTGTCACCCAAACTAGAGGGTAGTGGCACAATCATGCAAAGCTCACTACAGCCTCGAACTCCTGGGCTCAAGCATTCCTTCTACCTCAGCCTCTTTAGTAGCTATGACTATAGGCATGTGCCACTACACTTGGCTAATTTTTAAATTTTTTTTTAGAGATGGGGGTCTCACTGTGTTGTCCAGGCTGGTCTCGAACTCCTGGCCTCAAGTGATCTTCCTACCTTGGTCTCCCAAAGTCCTGGGATTATAGACATGAGTCACCACACCCAGCCTAATACAGTTTCTTAATAACAAATATGGCAGAGTTTCGTGGTCCTCAAACTTTTTTTCTTTTGTTCATTATTCCCCTACAGAATTTTGAAAAACTATGTACTCCTTGTACATTAAGTTGACATTAAAATTTTTTATCCTATCTTAAATAGGTAGAAATGATATAATTTCTAGGCCATGCAAGGTGGTTCATGCCTGTAATCCCAGCGCTTTGGGAGCCCGAGGTGGGCAGATCCCCTGAGGTCAGGAGTTTGAGACCAGCCTGGCCAACATAGTGAAACCCCATCTCTACTAAAAATACAAAAATTAGCCAGGTGTGGTGGCACGTGCCTTTAGTCCCAGCTACTCAGGAGGCTGAGGCAGGAGAATCGCTTGAGCCTGGGAGGCAGAGGTTGCGGTGAGCCGACATCAGATCACTGCCCTCCAGCCTGAGCAACAGAGTGAGACTCTGTCTCAATACGTAAGTATTGACATAATTTAAAAAAAACTGTTGGGTCATTGTTTTAAATATATGTAATGTAAATACCATAATGATGTGATACTCACCATCATCCATTTGAGGAATAAATGAATAAACTTTTCTTTAAAGGTCTAACATTACATTTATTCCTTTTTCTCCTTGAAATTGAAGGATACATTTTCATTCTTCTTTCCCCACATAGTTTTATCTTAATATAATGCTATTTTCAACTTGCAGGTCTTTTATTGTACATCTCTGTTACAAAAAAATATATAAACAGAATTTTAAAAGAATTTCCCAAGATAATAAGGCACTAAACACTAAAAAATTTCCTCTGGACTCACTATTATAGTTGTCTTACTAAATTAATTGATTAAATAATATAGTATATTACAACTTTTGATCATTATCAAGCATAACTTTCTTGAAGCATCACGTAATGAGATAGAATGGATGTTAGGGAGTTATTTCTTTGTTTAGTTATTTGTTTAAAAATGGCCTCACAGACACAGTATTTTGAATCCTTTTGTTTTGAGATTTCTGTACATCCCAGTAATTCACCCTAATACAATTTGGGGTGAGTAAAAATTAGGGGTGTGTGTGTGTGTGTGTGTGTGTGTGAAGAGGGAGAAGGATGATTGTGAAAGAGATGGTTAACTATTTTAGAAAAGTTGTTTTTATGGGCAGTCCCATAGGATGTGTGCTTTATGAGAGCACGGATTTCATTTTATTTTTTATCTTTCACCTGTTCATGACTGTATGCCTAGGCCCAGAACAATGACTGGTATATAACAGGCACTCAGTAAATATTTGAGGAATGAATAAATTGTATAAATAAACGTATGAAAACAGAAATATTTTATTTAATGAATCTGGAAATCACATGCTAAATAGTGTATTTCCCTAGGGTTTGTGTGAGTGGGTTTCCACGGCAACATGAAAAACATTGGAAAGAACTCTGTGGTCGAATAGTATTGGATCCTGAATTTATGGTGCAGCTTCTCACAGGCGTTTATTATGCCATGTAAGTAAGTGGAATATAAAATTGTATGAATTCTTCCTAATGTTTGGAAACTTTTAATATTTCTCTTTCTTCCTTATCAGACACAATACTGAATCTCTTGTTCTATGATAGGCTTATCTTGTTTTTCTAATATGGTTTCCTTTTAGTACTTTTAAAATAACCAAAATGTAACATAAGCAGTCATTAAAATTGGAGTTTAGAAATTGTCAGGTTGTCTGTATGGAAAACTATCTCTACAAAGTTCATAATCCAGGTTTTCATGAATGCATTAAGTAGATTACTTTGAATATATCACCATGTAATGAAAACCAATTTATGTGAAGAAACATTTGTAAACATAGTATTTAAAATGGTTTTGTTTTTATAACCAAAAGTGTGATAATTTATAAATGAAATGATATAACACTTGGCATGAAAATTTTGCTTCACAACCAAAATTGCAGGACTTGAAACAATTTAAAAAGTTAAGCTGAAGATTAGATATTTGTTCAAGAGAGTAAATGATCTGCTTCTTCATAGGTATAATGGACAGTGGGACCTTGGCCAGGAAGTTCTTGATGACATCATTTATAGAGCTCAGCTAGAGCTTTTTTCTCAACCACTATTGGTAAGTTATTATCTTTACTCTTTATTGAATATACTTATACCTAAAAANAAAAGGTACTAGGTTGAAAATCTGAGACAATCCCAATTATTAGGGGAAAAATTTTATTCCAGAATAACAATTAGTTAACTGTTAGAGAAAACACAAAATAGATTTAGATCCTTTCCACCTTCCAGTACCAAAATAAAGTTCAGATAGAGTGAATAATTAAATGTTTTGAAATCCTTTAAGAAGAGAGAGGAGAAGAAAAGTTTCCAAATATTCAAATTTCTAGAGAAGGGAAGACTTTGTAAGCATAAGTGATAGGACAAGTCACTAAAATAAGATTGATTTTCTTTCTCCCTTATATAAACACCTAAATTCTAAGCTGTTAGGTTTTTGTTTTTTTGTTTCTTGTTTTGTATTTTTTGTAGAGACAGAGTCTCTCTGTGTTGCCAAGGCTAGCCTCAGCCTCCAAGACTGCTGGGATTACGGACGTGTGACACTGCACCCAGCCTATTCCATCAGTTTTGCCTTTTTTTTTTTTTTTCCTTTTTCTGTTTTTGAGATGGAGTTTTGCTCTTATTTCCCAAGCTGGAGTACAATGGTGCAATCTTGGCTCATTGCATCCTCTACCTCATGGGTTCAAGCGATTCTCCTGCCTCAGCCTCCAGAGTAACTGGGATTACAGGCGTGCACCACCACGCCCGTCTAGTTTATTGTATTTTTAGTAGAAACGGGGTTTCACCATGTTAGCCAGGCTGGTCTCAAACTCCTGACCTCAGGTGATCCGCCTGCCTCTGCCTCCCAAAGTACTGTGAGCCACTGCGCCCAGCCCATCAGTTTTTTTAAGTTTTTTTGTTTTTTTTTTTAAATTTTATTTTGTTTTTGAGATGGAGTTTCTCTCTACCACTGAGTGGAGTGCAGTGGCATGATCTCAGCTCAGTGCAACCTCTGCCTCTTGGGTTCAAGTGATCCTCCCATCTTAGCCTCCCATGTCTAGCTGGGATCATAGGCACCAGCACACCCAGCTAATTTTTGTATTTTTAGTAGAGACAGTTTCACCATGTTGGCCAGGCTGGTCTTGAAATACTGATTTCAAGTGATCTGCCGGCCTCAGCCTCCCAGAGTGTTGAGATTACAGGTGTGAGCCACTGTGCCTGGCCTCCATTAGGGTTTTAAAAGCAAAATTAATACATGCAGGGCACAAACTGAGAAACATATTTTCAGCAGACGTGATAAGAATAAACAAATTAATATTTCATTTTATGTAAAGATTTTGTACTCTCCTACAAAATAAACAAATCTCCAAATGGTAACTGATTAAAAAACAGATGTAAGGCTGGGCGCGGTGGCTCACACCTGTAATCCCAGCACTTTGGGAGGCCAAGGTGGGTGGATCACCTGATGCCACAAGTTCAAGACCAGCCTGGCCAACATAGGAAAACCCTATCTTTACAAAAAATACAAAATTTAGCTGGGTGTGGTGGTGCATACCTCTAATCCCAGCTACTTGGGAGGCTGAGGCATGAGAATTGCTTGAACCCAGGAGGCAGAGGTTGCAGTGAGCGGAGATCATGCTACTGCACTCCAGTCTGGGTGACAGCACAAGACCTTGCCTCAAAAAAAACCAGAAAAGAAAACAAAACAACAAATGTAAATATCCAGCAGTGAAGTGAGGAAGGCATTCTTTATGTTACAGTGGTAGTATGACACAACCCTGAATATCCCCAGAAGAAGCAGTTTGGTAATGTGTGTTTATTTCTTTGACCCTGTATCCCATGTCTAGCAATGTATTCCAGAAAACTAAACTTAAATTTAATACCGAAATTGTAAATACCAGAGACAGTATAAGCATAACATTACAGTTTTATTTCTAATTGCAAAGAAATAAAAACAGTCTAAATGTTCCACAGCAGAGAATGATTTAAGTTATATGATATTTACTTGGTAAAACTATATATTTGAGGTTTTATATTAAAGGGAAACACTAGCTTGTATGAGGTAGAAAAACAGTATACAACTATTTTTTTAGATCTAGACAGGACAGAGGAAGCATACAAAATGCTAATAGTTGTCTAGGTAATTTGTCTGTGGATGTTTTTATTCCTTTCCAATTTTGTAAGCTTTTTGTAGTATTTTGATAATGGTGTTTTTAAAATATTATTTTCTACTTGCAGCATTTTAAGAATACAGCTTTTTATTTTATTGTTTCAAAACTTATTATTTTTTTGAGATAGGGTCTTACTCTGTTACCTAGGCTGAAGTGCTGTGGTGTGATAACAGTTCTCTGTAACCTCTACCTTCCTTGCTCAAGTGGTCCTCCTGCCTCAGCCTCCTGAGTAGCTGAGACTACAGGTGCATACCAGCACACCCAGCAAATTTTTGTATAGTTTTTTGAGACGAGGTCTCATGATATTGCCTAGGCTGGTCTCAAATTCCTGGACTTAAGCCATCTGCCTGCCTCAGCCTCTCAAAGTGGTGGGATTACAGGCATGAGCCACTTTGCCTGGCCCATCTTTTTAAAAGCCATTTTATTTGTATCATTTTAAAAAATATTTTAAGCTAAATATAAATTTATTGAGGTAGCATTTACAGTAATTCTTCTTTGAATTCCCATTTGTTTCCTAATCTTACCCTAAGAGTTACATTAAAACAAATGGGTAAAAAAATTAAAAAATTATATCATCATAGTAATACCTAAAACTTATGAAACTATTTAAATTCATAGTTTATCCTTTCAACAATCTTGTAAATTAAATAGAGGTGGCATTTCCAAGGCAATACAGGTAAAGAGATTAGTAACTCTAGTGTTACAGTATTCCATTATTGTCAGTGTCTCTGGGGGACCCAATAATAATACCCCTTTTCCCTATTAAAATCTAGAGCCATGTGATAGACAGAAAAATGGTAGATGGGGAACAAGTATTTTCATTACTGTTGAAAGCTAAATCGAAAGACTTAACTTTCCTCTACATCTAGACCTTGGAACAGCCCACTGGAGAGAATGAGTGGGCAGATTAGGCAAACCCATCCAGGCTGCTGCTTCATTCCATGTGGGCTTGTCCAAGTGGAGAGGGAGGGAGAAAGGCAATCCTTTAGCTCAAGATTTTTGCTAGATTTGTATAACCCAATTAGGAAACATGGATCAGTCAAATGGCAATTACCAGGAGCAGAAAGTGGTAGGACAAAATGCCAGAAGTATTTAGGAAACATTTTTCCTCATGTAAATAGAAGAGTGGAGAATATCCCCATGTTTATCAGAGATTAAATTCTGCATGTTATCATCTTAAGAATCAGACAATTCTAAATTGTCTCATAATCAGTTTAAATGTTAATTCTTTTTTTGGAATGCTTTTTCTCTTTGAAAGTCAACCATTTTAAGGCATCAGTGGAGTATGTGACTCGTATTTTAGAAATTCTCATTTGAAAGCTTGCTTAAAAGAATAGAGAACAACAAAGATACATTTATTACACATTTGTACTTTTATGTGTTATAATGCAAATTTTAAATACATATTCAAAAGTTATGGAAAAGAGTATAAACAAAAACTGCATATTGATTGTAAACTTGTATAGACTTATATTATCATTGTAGGTTGCCAATGCCATGAAAAACTCATTACCGTTTGATGCTCCTGATTCTTCACAAGAAGGCCAGAAAGTCCTTAAAGTTGAAGTCACTCCAACAGTGCCGAGGATTTCTCGGACTGCAATTACAACAGCTTCAATCCGTCGTCATAGATGGAGGAGAGAAGGTGAGTATAAAATCCCCATAGTCCACACATGGAGTCAAGTAAATTTATCACTGTTTACAGACTGTCTTAGCACATGATATTAAAAGACCCTGTATAATTAAATTTTTTTTGTTAAAAATAGCACTAGAAATGTGAGTGTCTAAAGTTATTTTAATATAAATATATATTTATAAAATACATGTTATTTAGATTGCTGTATAAAGGTTAAAACATAAAATAAGATGAGGTTAATTTTTGTATTTTTTTGAACTAAGTAAGAACAATAGGAAAGAAGTTGCTTTAACCTTGTTACCATACTAGGAAAAAAAAGGTGCACGTATGAGCACTGTGGGAAAAAGTATATAACTGGCCAAACTAACAATATAATATAAGCTATTCAAAAAATGATATATTCTTGTTTTTGGATTTTTATCTTTGCCTTTCCCTTTTTTGTAAGTGCTGAATCTAGCAGAATTTCATAGACATGGTACTTCAATAGTCAAGCTGTCTTGCCTAAGAGATATTGCCATTTTAGTGATCCTGATTTTTCTGTCTTAATTCATTTGCAAACCTCACATTGTTCATCTGCTGCCTTATGTGTGTGCATGCTGTGCACACACATGTAACTATATAAATAGTATTTGTGTTTATATCATATCCATATATACATTCTCTTATCTGCCTGGGTCAAAATGCTCAGAAAAGAATAGAGCAGCATAAAAGCACTAAAATTTTATATGTTGAATCCCAGATGGCTTTGACTTCTCAAACGAGGCTGACTCGAGTATTCCTGGCTCCCCGATCCAACACGGCTCCACTGACCTAGGGATCAAACGTGTGCAAGAGGGGGAGGTGCTGGTGCGCAGGACCCCTGAGCATGGCTCGCCGGAGCCCAACTCAGCAGCAGCCACAACAGAGGGTAGGACAGAGATGAGGAGGCAGAAGTCAGTGAGGCAGTTGCTGGAGAAGGATCCTGGCTCTCTATCCCCAAGCAGAGCATCTTTCCATTCCAATGTGTGTTACCAGTACCCTAGGGTGTGTTAGCTTCTCCTTGCAAAGCACCCTCCCTCCTCATATGCATAGCACCAGATCAGGTGCAATCTTTAGTTACCATTTGTGCTGGCCTGGAGTCTGCATCCCTGTGTAATCAAGGAACAGCTTGGCATGGCTACTAACAAGGCAGGGTTCTGTCTCCAAAAGGTCTGCAAATGCTTGGAATTTTTTCATTACTGAGCATGTTTATTCTAACATTAGGAAAGAAAAATGCACCCAGTGGACATGAGCCATATTCATCAATATGAAAGATTTTATTTATACAATAATTTATTCTTTAAAAATTTGTAAAGGGAGTTTTAAAATGTTAGTGTATTATCTTTAAGAAATTGGAAGTGGAGCCAGCTGATTTATCTGCAATTCTGTGGTGTTCAATGAAGAATTTCTCAGCTCTTTGACAAAGTATGCTGATATTGATTGGCTTTATCATCTGTAGATTAATTTGCTTAGGTCTAACTAGTAAACTACGGACATCTTCTATAAATGTGCTATCCTGATGCACAGCATATTTTATAATTTATTGTAAATACTGGTTGCCTTCAATTCAATGGAATTAAAATGTATTGTTATATTTAGAGGTCAGATATCCTAGTAGAGCCTTATTTCTATAATTTAGGTATCACAACATGGAGGGTTTTTTTTTTTTAAATACCCTTCCCCGCAACCGCCCATCTGTGAAAGAATGCTTCTCTTTGATGGGCAAGTATTTACTTGCTGTTTTGCATGTAATGCCATAGGAATTAGCTTTGTAAAAGAGGGAACTGTAGCCAGTGTTTAAAAAATTATTTAATGTATTGCTACTGTGGGATCTTTATACTTATTTATGAAATCAAGCAAGTAGTTTTAAAAGATGTTATATATTTTTATTTAAATGCCAAATGTACATAAAGCAGTTAACTGCCACCATGGGGAACTCTCTGCTCTTTGGTGCATTAGAAATTTGAGCATGCTCAGTAAGATCTAAATCTACCCTCTGTTCCCTTGCCCATTTACCCAGATTGACCTTATTTCATTTTAAGTGTTGCATGTGCATGACCTAGGGACCCAAAAAAGTTGGTGCTGTAAGATACAGCCTTCCCTTTTTTCCCTGTATCTTATTATGTTATCCCTAGGAGTAAGTTTTATCTTGTATAAACACATAACAATGAGAAGATGAATAGATATGTAACCCAGAGTTGGCCTAAACTGAACATTCTTGAATGACTGAGCCACTTGACGTTTATCTACTACTATTGCTAGAATATTGGAAGTATTTGTGCTAAATGTAGTACTGGGTTAATCAACAGTTGCTGAAATTCCAGAAAGTGTGGAATTAGGTTGAAGCATTCCTTCCAATACATCAAGTCATACACTTTGAAACAAATGAACCAAAATAGTAGTTCCTTTTTAATACATTATATTTATCACTGGTAAACTTTCAATTTCAGGGAGGGAGTGAGAGAGTGTAGCCACAAGGAAAGAGGAATGTTTCCTTATTTTACCTTTTATTCCAGATTATTTGTAGTTTTATTTTATTTATTTTTTGAGGCAGGATCTCACTCCCATCACCCAGGCAGAAGTGTGGTGGCACAATCAAGGCTCACTGCAGCCTCAACTTCCTGGGCTCAAATGATCCTCCCACCTCAGCCTCTGGAATAACTAGAACTACAGGCACACCACCATACCTGGCTAGTTTTTTGTATTTTTAGTAGAGATGGTGTTTTGCCATGTTGCCTAGGCTGATCTCAAACTCCTGGGCTCAAGTAATCTGCCTGCCTTAGCCTCCCAAAGTGCTGAAATTACAGGCATGAGCCACCGACCCTGGCCTATTTGTAGTTTTAAATCAATATTAACAGAAGCCAAATGTGTAAGTAAAGTCGGCCATGAATAGAAAAATTCATTAAGAATCCATTTCATAGCTTCTTGGGGTTCAATGTAAACACATAAAGGCATTAAAAAAGAAATTCCATTTCAGATGTCTCCTCTTTGGACCATGAATGGTATTGTTATCACCTTTGGAGAAAATTACAAAGTAAAAATATTTTGAGATACAATTGCCTTTTTATTTCACAAGGGTTTTTTCTTGACCCCCAGATGGTCTCACTCTGTTGCCCAGGCTAGAGTATACTGGCACAGTCATAGATCACTGTAACCTGGTTTCCTGGGCTCCAGCAAACCTCTGGCCTCAGCCTTCTCGGAAGCTAGGATAACAGGCATATCACCATGCGCAGTAAATTTTTAAATTGTTTGTGGAGATGAGGTCTTGCTATGTTGCCCAGGCTGGTCTTCAACTCCCAGGCTCAAACAATCCTCCTGTCTTGGCCTCCCTAAATGCTGGTGACCCGCTGCGCCCAGCCTCCTTAAGATTCATAGCTTACTGCCACCTCGAATTCCTGGACTTAAGTGATCTTCCTACCTCGGCCTCCTGAGCAGCTGGGATTATGGGTGGGTGCCATCACATCTGGCTAATTTTAAAATTTTTTGTGGAGATAGGATCTTGCCATTTACAGAGGCTGGTCTCAATGTCCTCAGCTCAAGGGATCTGCCTGTCTTGGCTTCCCAAAATGTCGGGATTAAAGGTGTGAGCCACTGTACCCTGCCAAGCTTTTTAAACAAAAGAAAGGAAGTTATAAAACCCTATGAAAAGTTTTGATAATTCTGAACTCTGCTGAAGCTTATAGATTATTGACTAGTCTTCTGCTATGATGTTTTTAAAGACTTTTACAATTAAAATTGGGTTTATTGTTGAAATTGAAGGGAGAATATAAGCTCATCACCTACCTTTCTCCTGATTGTTAAGTAACATTCTATTTGTGACTTTTAAAGCTGGAATTAAGATTATTACTAAACTGGCCAGGCATGATGGCTCATGCTTATAATCCCAGTACTTTGAGAGGCCTAGGCAGGTGAATTGCTTGAGCCCAGTTCAAGACCAGCCTAGGCAATGTGGCAAAACCTCATATCTACAAAATATATAAAAATTAGCCAAGCATGGTGGCACATGTCTGTAGTCCCAGCTACTTGAGAGGCTGAGGTGGGAGGATCACTCAAGCCTGGGAGGTTGAGGCTACAGTGAGCTGTGATCATGCCACGGCACTTCAGCCTGGGCAACAAAGTGAGACCTTGTCTCAAAAAATAATAATACAAATAAATAAATGTTTTTAAAAATTATTACTAAACTGAAGACAATACCTGTGATTAAAGTATAATCAGTGTTCCATTATATTATATGCTAAGCATTGCTTAGTATATAAAATATCAGTAGATTCTCTTGCATGTTGGCTTTTGTGTTATCTTTTTTATGGTCATATTGCTTGGGCATCAGATCTGCATGTAGCAAGATTCAGAAGCTAGCACTAAGTCTCTCAGTCTCCTTTCCTAATAAATATACCCAATATTTTAAAAGAGGTTATACATTTTTGATATGATAATATCCACTTCTGTTGACTCCCAATTTTATATTACTAATATAAATTCTGAACCAATAACTATCCTTTCTTGGGCAATTTCAGAGTTCTTTATACTAATTATAAGTAAATTACTAAGATGTATCATATGAATATAATTTAAAGTTTTTATTTTGAAGTACATTATGTACAGTTCTTTTGAAGAGGTTGAGAGAAGTGGTGTCAGCTGCTACTGTTCTTAGTAAATGCATTTTCATATGGCTTTGCATGATGATTAAAGATTATTAAACTGCTGGATATAAAAGGTGCCTTTTGCTTTAAGGATAGCTTATTTCATTCTTTAGAAGGAAGAAAATAATCCATATGAGTAATATAGCTAAGTAAATAGTTTATTTTTCCAGATACTATGTTAAATAAAAGATTGTGTTAAAATATTTTGTATATATTTTGCTTAGGTAACTTATATCTCTAATATTTGTTTAGACCCTTTCCTAATGTTTTTACCTTAACTGTAATGTTGATATCTGTTTTGTAGACTCAGATTAAACTTTATGGCAGTCTGGGAAATGTATTTAATGAGGTAGGAAGCCAATATGAGTTCTTGAAAGAAGCAAATGTATTACTTTCTAAGAGAATGTTGATCATACTCTCAGTAAGAGAACTGGCTTTCTGTAAACTGCAAGCTCAATATATTATATGTTCTTTTCTTCTTCCCACAAAAACCCAAGATAAGAATTCTGTTGTTGGCCGGATGAGGTGGCTCACACTTGTAATCCCAGCACTTTGGGAGGCCGAGGTGGGCAGATAATTTGGGACCAGGAATTCAAGACCAGCCTGGCCAACATGGTGGAACCCCATCTCTACTAAAAATACAAAAATTAGCTGGGTGTGGTGGTACATGCCTGTAATCTCAGCTACTTGGGAGGCTGAGGCAGGAGAATCACTTGAACCTGGGAGGCAGAGGTTGCAGTGAGCCGAAGACCATGCCACTGCACTCCAGTCTGGGTGACAGAGCAAGACTCTGTCTCAAAAAAAAAACAAAAAAAGAATTACTTTGTTAACTGCAGTTTCTGCATGAAATGAAATGTGATGGGACACTATAGTATTTTGTGATTATGACAATACATCTCAATGCTAAGAATCTAAAATATTATAGAAATAATTATATAAAATATTATCAAAACATACCATATAGGAAATCTAAGTCCTTCCTAAATATCCCTGCTGGTTCCCTATCACTGCTCTCTGAAATGTGGAAACCAGTGAGTAAAGCCATAAGACAAAACATGATTGTGAAGTTACAGAAGCAATGTAGTTTTGAGTTATTTTTACTAGTTCCATGTTAAATGTTCTAAAGCAATATAGAAGCAATTAACCATTGAGTAAATATAAAGTTTTATTGTAGTTAAAAAGAGTTTGGCCTGTAAGCATAAATGAGTTTTTGGTACAATTCTGGGTAACCAGAATTAGAAGAGGGGCTTTTTTGCACATCTTATGGTGGGTTAAAGAAGGTATGAGGGGAAAGTTGTGTGTGCTTTTTTTAAAATAGGTTGATATGGTCATTTCAGAAGAATGATAGAGTGTATTATAAAAATTTATGTTAAACTTTTGTATTTTACCTAGTTGTTTTACATGCCTAAATATTGATAGTATACTAGATAATGTTTGTGGATAGCTTTTTAAAAACTGGACTAAATAAAGCTAAATTGACATTTATTAACATATTAGAATTCTGTGTAGATTAAGATTTATTTCCCCTAAATTATTTAGGGGAAGTGTTGATAGTAGGGCCATTGCCAACCTATAGCAAACATTACCCAAGAGATAAGGTTAGTGTTGTTATTCACAGCTGCTTCTTATTTAATTTAGCTGTTGCTGAGTCTGTCTGATTTGTTTTCTTAGGTGCTGAGGGTGTAAATGGAGGAGAGGAATCTGTAAACCTGAATGATGCAGATGAAGGATTTTCATCAGGGGCTTCCCTCAGCAGTCAGCCAATTGGGACCAAACCATCCTCCTCTTCTCAGAGGGGAAGCTTAAGGAAAGTAGCAACTGGGCGTTCAGCCAAGGATAAAGAAACAGCCTCTGCCATCAAATCCAGTGAGAGCCCTCGAGATTCAGTAGTTCGCAAGCAGTATGTACAGCAACCAACTGATCTTAGTGTAGATTCAGTTGAGCTGACACCAATGAAGAAACACCTGAGCCTGCCTGCTGGCCAGGTGGTGCCAAAAACCAGTAGTTTAAGTCTAATCCGGACAGCCAGTGCTTCCTCAAGTAAATCATTTGACTATGTAAATGGCAGTCAAGCAAGTACCAGCATTGGGGTTGGCACTGAGGGAGGTACAAATTTAGCAGGTAACAATGCTAATCGATACTCAACTATCAGTCTGCAGGAAGACCGGCTAGGTCAAGCTGGTGAAGGTAAAGAGCTCCTCAGCCCAGGAGCCCCCTTAACCAAGCAGTCTCGATCCCCAAGTTTCAATATGCAGCTAATATCCCAGGTGTAGTTTTGACTTCTTCCCTCCTCTTTCTGCTTACCTTTTAAACTGAACATTTCATTGTGCAAGAAGACACTTCATCCCACATTGTGAAAACATTGGTCATCATAATCAGATTTCATTTAGTTTAGGTATCTTCATACTGTATTTTGTATCGAAACAGCAATAAGGCTTTCTTTATCCCTCTTTCCTACATCTTCTCTTCACCTGTTCCTTGTAAATGTGTTTGTGAAGCAGTATAAAATGTTTGCCTTTTCCATGCCTTCCTTTCTCTTTGGGTGATGTGCAATCCATCGTAGGCTGATCGGTCCCATTTCAACACTGTGAGACTGAGAATACATTAGAGGAAATGGTGTATATGATCCCTATGAAACGATTCTTTGGCTTTTGTTTAAAAACAAAGCAAAACGGGTTTGTTCTCATAACCTATAGAACTATGAAGATTACTGGATCATGTTTTTTTCTCTCTTAACCAGGAGTGCCTCAGAGATTCTGCTATGACTTTGAACTTCTCTGAGTCTGTGCAATCATTTTCTGGAGAAGCATGGGAAAAGGTGGTAGACTGCTGCACTTTTTAATTAAAATGAGGGTAGCTCTTTCTCCACCCGCCCCCCATCTACTTTATCCCAAGACATAATAGTTCCATTACGGAGGCATTTAAATCAAGTTGTGACCACCTCCACTGGAGGACAGGGCTCTAAGTTGATTGTGTAATTGATAATGCACTTTCTCAATGGCTCTATAGTCATTATTAACATGTCTTCCCTCTTCCCCACAAGGATATATAAGGTCATTTCTGTCCTCCAAGTTTGGCCAACTAACAAATCAGAATCTGAGGGGCATGTTCTGTTTCCCAGGAATGATTGACACTTTGGTGCTGGGGTTTGTGGGGGGAGGGGTGGTTTTTGTTTAGCTTGTGTGGAGATTGTGTGTGTGAGGGGAGATTTTGATTGTTTTTTTTTTTCTTTTCCTTTGTGAGCTGATGATGGCTGAAGTATAACAGTACATCTTCAGGTAAAGAGAGGGATTTCTCAATCTACTTTCTGTTATGTCAGACTATAAGAGAAACCCTTTCAGCTGCTTTCTAGATGTACCTAAATTCAGTCAGACATTTTGGATTAAGAAACCTAAAGTCCTGATAGATTACGTACTCCAAAATATATCAGGGACAGACAATTGGCTGAAAACACTGACGCTTCAATGTGACACATTTTTATAGAACATTTCTACCAGGGGGTACTGAGCTTGATTTTTCCTATAAGGACCACACTGCCTTTGTGTTTAATGTAATGCAATTTGTGTACCTTCTAATCATATATCTGCAGTTTCTCATTTTTATAAAACTTTGGAATCATGCCAGTAAGCTAGATGTTGAATGTATGTAAGTAGCATTTGGTAACTGCTAAGAGGTTACAAAAACATTATTGGTAAAAAAAGTTTTTTAGTTCTGATCCAGTTGGATAAGATTTTATCATAACCTCTTCTGGGTCTCAGGCTCTGCTGTTTGAAAAAGAAGGGAATATATTGGGTTTTAAAAAATCAGTGTATTGTGACTTAAACTGTTGTTATCCTTCCACAAAATACATCAGAGCTATTAGTGCTTTGTACCTTTTGATGTTTTTACTTTATTGTTTAAGAAAAATATACTGAATTTATAGAAAGCAAGTATTCTCCTAATTAACAAAGGTTGAAATTTTATCTCTACCAATTAAAATTACAATCGATTTTGATAAATAACCAGAAAAATGCCTTGTTTTTTTCACACGTAGTAATCCTCCCGTTTTTATTGTAAGAACTTTTTTTTCCTAAGAGACTTTCTGTTAGACTCTTTATAAGAAGAACGACGTGCTTGTTTGAATTTGTTGGTCTGTAACATTTTCCAGCTCATGTGAAAATGGAAAACTAGAACCTGAACTAGTATCTACAACATTGCCAAAGTCTGGGGCAAAACTGAAAGTTGATAAATAGACAATTTATTTATTTGTCTGTGTCTGTGTCTGTGTGTGGATACATATATATATGGTGTGTATATGTATATATCACAAAGATGTATTTTAAATATCGTTTCTTTTAATTTAACTAAGGGATGTCAGATAAATGAAAGGAGTTTAAATATAGCCAAAATAAATGAGGTGTAAAGGTCCATAACATACTAAAAAAGACAGAGTTTCAGGTATGTACAGAAAGGAGCATTCTACTTACCCAGAAAGTGAGATCTTGGCTATGGCTGGAGGTCAGTCACTTTATGGCAGAAATTACGGTTTTATTTGGGAGGATAAAAGACTGTTTTCAATTCAAATTGTGCATTTATTGGCATCTCAATCTGCATAATTTTAATTAAAGCACAAAAGAAATACCACATACCAAATTACTGCAAAAATTATAATAAATACATCAAAATTTTCCTTTGACTAGAAATCTTATGCCTGAAAAATTGGTTTTAAAAAATGTCCATTTTAGAGAATTTTATCTGTATGTATATACATACATCCCTGTATGTATACATACGTACATTAACATTTCATCACCCTGTAACATTTGTTTTCTATTTTTTTTTTGTGTGTGTGTGTGATAGAGACTTGCTCTGTCACCAGGCTGGGGTGTAGTGGCACAATCTCAGCTCACTGCAGTCTCCACCTCCCGGATTCTAGTAATTCCCTGCCTCAGCCTCCTTAGTAGCTGGGACTACAGGTGTGCACTACCACAGCTAGCTAATTTTTTCCATTTTAGTTGAGATGTGGTTTCACCTTGTTGGCCAGGATGGTCTTGATCTCCTAACCTCGTGATCCACCCGCCCAGACCTCCCAAAGTGCTAGGATTCTAGGCATGAGCCACCACACCTGGCTTTCTATTCTTTTAGGTGACCTCAGTGAAGAAACATTTCATTTAGTCTAAACCTTGCATTTGGGGTCTTAGAACAGATTTCTTGTGCAAGAATTGTTATTAGTTAAAATGGAAGGTGTTAGTTTAACAAAGTCAAATTTTCTAAGTTTTTAAGTATGCATTTTAACATGCATTATTTTTGGCATTTAATTTAAAATAGTTTTGTTTCAGCTACACAGCAGCTGTTACAGATAAATGCCAGCAATATTCAAACTTTTTAACAAGCTTTTGTTTTACATTTCCTAACTTCCCTAAAAATCTAACCATCTATGAAAACGATATTTAAGGAGAAAATACTTGTTTTCTGTAATAAAACAATTATGTTGGTGCCATGTATGCCAAGTTGGATAAAAGAATACAAAGAAATAGCTGAAGGAACTCTGCTCTGACATTAACTACTAGAAAGCAAACTAAAATGCAAAGTGAATAGTTAACTCAGAACATTTGATTTTTTGAGACAGGGTCGCACTCTGTCCTCCAGGCTGGAGTGCAGTGGCAGGCACTATCAGCTCACTGCAGCCTTGACCTCCCTGGGCTCAGGTGATCCTCCCACCTCAGCTTCTGAAGTAGCTGGAATTCCAGCACCACCATGCCTGGCTAATTTTTGTATTCTTAGTGGAGATGGGGGTTTCGCCATGTTGCCCAGGCTGGTCTTGAACTCCTGGGCTCAAGAGATCCACCCACCTCGGCTTCCCAGAAGTGTTAGGATTACAGACACGAGCTACCACGCCTGGCCTGAAGATTTTTAAATGTAAAAATATTTTAAGAAGCTAAGGGGGAAATTGTTATTTTAAAATCCTGATCCCCTTACCTTTACCCCTTACCATTCCCCTTACCTTTCCAATTCACTTATCTTTGTCTATTTATTATAGAAGCAGAATTTGTGCTAAGAAGAAACCCTAGAGATAATCTAGCTAGTTTCCCACTGCCTCACCCCCACATTCATCAAGAAACTGTGGCTCAGAGGGTGGTGTGATCAAGGTCATATAACTAAAGCAGAGCCAGAATCAAACCCAGTCTCCGTGGGTTTGGGGAGGCAGTGGGTTGTTAACTCCCGTTTTTTTTCTTTACAGTTCTGGTCTAGTAGTTAGTGAATACGGCACATTAAGAAAAGTATTAAATCCAGAGAAAATGTAGAGTAATCGAGATGGGGACATGTTGGAAATGTTAAGTATATATAAATATGTAAGGATAAATACATTATTCTTTATTCTAATTTATGCCTTACTAATTTCTGCCACATAACAGTTGTATGCTGCCATTTTATAGTTGATTACATTTCTGGGGATTTATTTAAATGTAAAATAAACCCAATGAAATGGCTTTGGTCAGTATTTCTAGTTATTTTAAAGTGATTTTTTGAGTCAGCCAGCTTTTAGTCACCAGTGTGGCAAGCTAATTATATTGCACAATAGAGTATTGCAAAGTAAAGATTAAATAAATTTAATTAATAATTTTTAATGTAGAAAGAAATTGAATCTTACCTATGCTTAGAGCAAATGCAAGCAATATTTCCTTATGTGATTGAAAAGGTTTTATAGTGTTAAGCTTATGATTCCATAATGGAACAGTGACCATGATGTCATTTAAAGTGTGTATATACCATATAAAATGTCTTAAATGCTGTAGTCTCAGCTATATAAGCGCAGTATTTCCAACCTGTATTTTGAAATTCCACCTAGTAGCTTTAAACTAATTATAATTATTTATTAGACACTGGAATACTAAGAATAACTTCTTTGAGATTTTGTTTGCACAACTTTTGTGACTATTTTAATGAAGTGGAGTATTTTTCCCACCTCACTTTTGTGAGGTTTGTATGGGTCCATTTTTGAGTACTTCAGTTGTTGACAATCAGTTGTCTCCTTTAAATCTCTGCATGTTCACTTGTAAATAAAAAAATTTAGTACCCGTCTTTAGGGGTAGTACCCTATTACAAACACTGGCAAGGAATGGCTCTCCATTTCTGACCTTGGATTACAAGGTATGTTTTGGGGTTTTCTTTTTTATTCAGTATTTCAGTTACGTATTTGTTTTCAGCTTTAACAAGTTTAACAGGTCATGCCAGTGATCAGAAAATCTGTAAGCATTTTAGATCAATTTTTCTACACTACAGCTATGTTAAACAGTCTGAACATGGGATTTTTTTTTAATCTTTCAGTTTGAATTATTGTCGTTTCACCACTAAGTTGGTTGAGACACTTATTTGTAATACTTTAATTTTTTTTAAGTCTTTTTAGAAACAAGTTGTTTGAAAACCAATTAGAAATTGGAATTTTTGCCAGATTGTAAGAAGATGGAATGCAGTGTAAAAATGTTAATGCTAATAAAATTATGAGTCATCAGATTGGTACAGTTTCCATGCCAAGGTGGTCATATTGATAATGTAAGACAAATTTTAGTATTACTTGAATTGTGTGTACCTAATAGGTATATCATACTGGTACTGAGCATATATAGAAAATACTATTCATAGAGGAGTCATCACCACCCAACCTCCTTGCCCATGAAGGCATATTTCTTCTAAACCTGACTGCACAAGTACAACATCTTGGTAACTTCAGGCTTTTCAGTATTTTTGGAATCTTAGCCATAGTCCTATGAGAAATATACATAAGAGCAAACAATTCAGGATAGAAGTTAGCAGAAAGCTGGGAAGGATGCGAAATAACTGGCAGCATAGTACAGAAATGTAGGGTATATGTTTTGCTTCTGGATTTTTAGAAATTGTGTTAATCATGTTTACAAATTAAGGCATATTCAGATGTCTGCTATTAATATTGATTGTATTTAAAAATAGAATTAGGTATAGCTTAAAGTATAAGTGAGTCTCTTTAAACGTGTTTCTGGAAGTAGGTCTAATAAAGAAATCCTTTTATTTTTCAAAGAAATGAACTTAATTGGACAGTTCCTCCCCAATTACAGAGTTGATATCAATATGTTTTGCTGTATTTGAGTATAAATAGCTCAATGTTAATTATATCAAAGGAAGTTATTTACATCTTCATTGATTACAAAATTTACCAAAGAAAATGTATCTACCAAATATAATTTTTAAAGTACTTGTAAGGAATGAAGCCTCTTTAACATATAAAGTATACTAAAAATATTCTCTGACCTGGATAGGTTTACGGTAGCTACAAGATTACAATTTAGGTTTTCTTATGTCAATAAATGTCAATATTTTATACTTTCAGCAAAAGTACCCATTAAAGACTAAGTCTAAATATTGTTCCTCATAGCACATTTTCTTGTCTCCTTAAATTAAGGATTCTACTCACCAGGACTGAATAACAAGGGGGAAATTCCTAAAATTGGTATATTTTATAATATTGTGGGTTAAGTAAAATTTAGGGGGAAATTGTTAAAATGTACCCATTTTAAAGGGCAGCGGCAATTATTATTATATTGGTTAAACTGGTACAGTTTGTTTATGATTTATGTCCATGATCATTCTGAGTGTTTTTTTCTTTGCGGAAAAACAAGATTGGGTTAAGAAAAGTGAAAATACTCATTTTAATAAATATATAGGCCAATAAGAACTAAATAATTTATTTCAACTGTTAATTTTTTTTGGAAATCATGAAATGTATTTGCATATTGATGTTTCCAAATAAGTTTTATGTATTGTTTTTTATAGCAGGGAGTAGTTAAAAAGTAATGAATATATTGATTAGCTGTCTTGGAAAGAGAGGATTGGCTTTCTAACAATCACTGATACTAGTTTGAGTTTTGGTGGTGCGGGGAGTTGTTTTTAAGTTTTATCATCCATACTGAATTGAGAGATGTGCTCCATTGGGTGTTTAAAAATATTTGGAATAAGTTCACCTACTTGACATTGAATCTTTTTTATTCTTATTCTAAAAATTACTCTGGCTTTATATTCAGTTTAAGTGGTTAAGTGAAACCATTTTTAGGGTGCAAAAATTGCTTTCCCACTATTTTTCTCATGATAATTTGGGTCTCCTGAGCTATAATTTCTGGAGGATTTTTTACCTCTTTGGCATTATGTAATCTGATCTCTGTCACAATGGACATTTGAATAAGAAATATCTCACTTTCATATTTTTGCTTCATAAAAGGGTATGGAATGTACACATCAGGTTTTGTTTTTTTTTTTTTTTTTTTTTTTTTTACCAGCATCAACCTATAACTTGGTATAAACTTCACAAGTATTCAGAGAATATTGCTGGAGAAAATTTAAATAGGATAGGCATATAGAAATTATAATGTGTATTGAGTGATGTCCTTTCAACCTAGGACTAGTGAAAACCTTCATTTTTTCAGAGCTGAAGAAAAAAACGCACATTTAAGATAATATTTATTGGTGCATGT